AAGAGCTGAGGGACAGCGCCCAGGCCCAGAGTTCAAGACCTACAACCAACCAACAAAACAAAACAAAACCAAAAATCATAGGAAACAGAACAAAAGAAGTTGGAAACAGGGTACCAGGCTCAAAGATAAAGCAGAGGAACCAGAACAGTCAAAGGCACGGAAAAACCAATCTGAACAAACCAAAGTGGGGGAGGTGGCTCATGGTACAGTTCTGGCCTGGCATGCACGAGGACCTGGGTCCAATTCCACAGCACCACATAAATTAAAAGCTGGGCCCTGGTGGCCCACGCCCGTAATCCTAGCTACTCAGGAGGCTGAGATCTGAGGATCATGGTTCAAAGCCAGCTCAGGCAGGAAAGTTCATGAAACTCCTATCTCCAATAAACTACTCAGAAAAAGCCAGAAGTGGTGCTTGGCTCAAGTGGTAGAGTGGTAGCCTTGGACACTGAGAAGCTCAGGGACGGTGCCCAGGGCCCTGAGTTTAAGCCCCAGGACTAGGGGGAAAAAAAAAGAATATGCCAAAGGGAAACTCAAGAATTGATGGATTTGATTAAAAGATCAAATCTACCCATAATTGGGATAGATGAGGGAAAAGAATTCAAAACTAAATGTACTGAGACCATATTCAACAAAATAATAACAGAAAACTCCTTCAGCTTCAAGAAGGAAAATCTCCCCATCTGACAGAGACATGCAGAAATCCTAGTAGACAGGACCAGAGAAGAAACCCTCCTAGACATATCGTTGTGAACACTCTGGACTAAAAATCAACAACAAAGAATTAATCTTAAAGGCAGCAAAATCAAAAGGAAACTTTATCACAATGGGAAGACTAAAATAACTGCAGATTTGACTAAACAAACTCTCTGAATGCATAGAGATCCTGGAGTGGTATAATTTAAGCTCTGAATGACAACACTGCTAATCTAAACTAGTGTACCCAACAAAGCTAGCATTCACAATTGATGAGAAAACCTTCCATGATAAACAAAAAACGAAAGGAACTCATGAACACTAAACCAGCACTACAAAGAGAACTAGAGGAAAGCACACTATGTGAAGAAAACAAAGTCAAGAAAACATAGCAATGAATAAAAATCACTAGAGGACTAGTTCAGTAAAACAAGAAGGGGAAAGGGTAAACTACAGGAAAATGACAAAATGGCAGAAAACACACCATCTTTCTTCATAGTAATGTTTAACACCTATGAGTGTAATTCCCCAAACAAAACAGGAGCAGAGCAGCAGCAGAGAAGTGTCTGGATCAAAAAACAAAATCCAAAAATTTGTGGCCTCCAAGAAACAAATCTCGCCGGGCACTGGTGGCTCACGCCTGTAATCCTAGCTACTCAGGAGGCTGAGATCTGAGGATCGCAGTTCAAAGCCAGCCCGGGCAGGAGAGACCGTGAGACTCCTATCTCCAATAAACCACCAGAAAACCGGAAGTGGCGCTGTGGCTCAAGTGGTAGAGCGCTAGCCTTGAGCTGAAGAGCTGAGGGACAGCGCCCAGACCCAGAGTTCAGGCCTCACGACCAGTTCCCCCCCCCAAAAAAAAAAAAGAGTCTCACAGACTTTCCTGCCTGGGCTAGCTTTGAACCATGATCCTCAGATCTCAGCCTCCTGAGCTAGGATTACAGGTGTGAGCCACCAGCATCCAGCTTCTCGACTCCCTTTCAATATAATTCTGAAATTCCTAGCCAGAGCAGTAAGACAAGAGAAAGACATAAAAAGGGATTCAAGGGAAAGAAGAAGTCAAAGTATTTCTATTTGTAGATGATATGATTTTAGCTCTGGCAAAGTAGCAATATATAAAATTAACCCACAAAACTCAGAAGCCTTTCTGTATACCAACAATGTACAAGCAGAGAGGGAAATCAGGAAAACAACTCCATTTGCAGTAGCCTCAAAAAAAAAAAAAAGCCAGGTGCTGGTAGCTCACACCTATAATCCTAGCTACTGAGGAGACTGAAGTCTGAGGATCACAGTTCAAAGCCAGCCCAGGCAGAAAAGTCCGTGAGACTCTTTATCTCCAATTAACCACTAGAAAACCGGAAGTGGTGCTGTAGCTCAAGTGGTAGAGCGCTCGCCTTGAGCTGAAGAGCGCAGGGACAGCTCCCAAGCCCAGAGTTCAAGCTCCATGACTGACAAAAAAAAAATTTTTAAAGTATTTAGGAATAACACTTACCAATAAAGCAAAAGACCTCTGTAGTGTAGTGAAAACAATTAAAATATGAAGAAAGAAATCAAAGATGACTAGGAAATGGAAAGACCTTCCATGTTCATGGATAGGTAGAATTAAGATTGTGAAAATGGTCACGCTGCCAAAAGGTAATCTACAAATTCAATGCACCCCATCAAAATCCCAATGAAGTTCTTCACTGAGATAGAGAAAACAATCCAAAAATTCATATGAAGCAACCAAAGACCTTGAGTAGCCAAAGCACTTCGAGGCAAAAAAACAAAACAAAACAAAAAGCCAATGCTGGTGGTATCACAATTCCAGATCTCAAGCTCTACTATAG